TCTGTCCCTCCTGGAGTGTGACTGCCCTGTGTGTCTGTCTGTCCCTCCTGGAGTGTGACTGCCCTGTGTGTCTGTCTGTCCCTCCTGGGGCCAGGGAGACAGGGACTGACAGTAAAACTTCAGCTGTGAGCAAGACTTGAAGCTGTGTAGGGGAACACCATTGGATTCCAAGTCCAACGCCTTCATCCCTTGGCCATGACAACAGCCTGCCCAGATTGTGTTTGCAGGAGCCCCTGGCTGTAACCCTGCCCAGGGGCACAGCAGGACCTGGTCCTATCCTGGATGTGGATTCTGCCATCCCTGCCTCACATCCAGCTCGGGGACTGCTGTTTGTGTTACCACCTGCTGTGCACAAAGCATCCCAGCAGTGCTGGGAACAAGAACTGGCCACCACCCACAACACCAGCGGTGATGACATGGGGGATGGACATGGTGGGAAGTCTGTGTCCTGTCCTGTGTTCTTGTATCCAACAGGAAACTTGTCCCACGACAGCTGTCTCCAGTCTCCTTTTCTAGCCTGGAAATATCCCAGCCTTCTCCATCCCCTCTTCCCACAATACCCCTATTTTTGCCTCTGTGACAGCACATCCAGATATGGCTCTTGGAGGCAGCCTGAGCCATGGACCTGGTAGGTTCTGTCCTGCAGCTGGGAGGAGATGTTGAAGGCTTGTGTGCTTCTCACCAGGTTGCTGCCTGCATTTGGGAACCAGGAATTTGGAGAAAGAATGAAAAGGTGGCTGTTGAGAGGAAATCCTTGCTGAGGTCTGGTAGTGACTTGGCCTCTCCTTTGGAGCATAAATCCAATTTGGAGGGCAGTCCTAGAAGCACTATGCTTGGTTTGGGTGGGAGCTGGCTTTGGGAACTCATCCTGAGGCATCCAAAGCCCTCCCTGGGTTCCTGGAGTTGTGTCCAAGAGCTGTGCAAGAGCTTTCCTATGTCACTGGCACTCCATGCCCCTCCTGTTTATCAGCAGGGTTTGGATTTACCAGCAAAATGGGGTCTGGAGTGGCCCACTATGATATCAAATGGATGGGAGGGTCTAGACCACAGTAGAAGGACCTGGAGAGAACCAGAGTGGGAGCAGAGGGACCTGGAGAGCAGTGGCACCCCAACAGAGGAGGTTGGAGGGGACTAGACCTGAAAAAAAGACGTCTGAGGGGGTTAAGGAGGTTGAAAGGTGTGGTCTGGAGAGCTCCAACAGAAGCATCTGGAGGAGACTGGAGGACACCATATCCCCCAACTGTTTTTGCAACCTGGCTTGACTCACTTTCATTGCACTGGTCAGAATTGCCCCAATATTCCTCTAAACCTTTCATCTTGTTGACTTTTTTCCTTATCTAACCTTGCGTCATTGGCAGTGAACAGCTATTTTCATCTACATTTCGTGTCATATTTACAGACAAAACAATCTTGCCTGGTTAAAAGAACAAGATGTGTTTACAGAAAAGTCTGAGTTCAACAGAGAGCTGACAGCTCTTCTCTTGTAATAAATGGCACTTTGCAGTATTATGCAATAGAGAAAACCACAAGGTGTGTCATGAGGCAGAGATTCTAAATCAAGGAAATGTTCAGACTCTCATTTTCACCCTTTAATCTTCCAAGCCGCAGAAAACAGTGAGACTCCTGCTCGAGCACTGACTTTGCTGGACCCAGCACAGAGCTCTCACCATTCCTGAGGAGAGGGAATGGCCTCAAGTTGTGCCAGGAGAGGCTTAGGTTGGACATTAGGAAGAAATTCCTTCACTGAAAGGGTGTTCAGGCACTAGAACAAGTTGCCCAGGGCAATGGTGGAATCACCATTCCTAGAATCACTCAAAAAACCATGGAGATGTGGCACTTGGGGACATGGGTTAGGGGTGGCCTTGGCAGTACTAGGGGAATGGTTGGATTCAATTGTCTTAAAGGACTTTTCCAACCAAAATGATTTTGTGATTCCTTGATTCACTGTTCCCTCCCATCACTTGATGCAATGTTAAAGACACTACTCTCAGCATAAACCAGCATGTCACTGGTTGCAGTGTGAGGGCACAGGATGATCCAGAAGATCCTTGGAGTACCAGGGAACCCTGTGGGCTTTGTGCATAAAGACATTCCTTTACACTGTTAAGCATTGAATCAAGCCACAAAATCTGCGATCCTTTTTTGCTTCTATTCACATATTCAGTCTCTTAAGAATTTAAGCTGCAGTCCAGGAAAAATTGTTCATGGCAGTGAATGACTGCCCTATCTCCCAGCTGTGGGCACAATGAAAATTGCAGTGGGATCTAAAGCTTCTTCCACTCTCTTTGCTTAAATATAAATCTCTGGAGTGTTTGAATCCATGTGTTCTCCTAGTGGCTTTCCAAGGGCCTGACAACTGCTTCTACTGTGCTCCATATTTCCAGATAAGATGGGAACTGATTCCAGAGCTGGAAGATGCATGGAAGATGGAGAAACCATCCTCCTGCAGTCTGTCTTCTAGTCCTGCCAGCCCCATCTCCAGAGAAACCATCTCCCACTTTCCTGCCTAAGCATGGGTTCACAGTTTGGAAGAGAATGGAAGGGATGGAAGAAAGGTTTACTAAAGGATGGGTTCATGAGGGGGAGCTGAAGGTTTTATTCAGGAAGTTTGGTCCATGGGAAGGGAAATAAAGCTGCAGCCCTTGGGAGAAGATTGTTGTTCTTATGGAAGAAGTGTTCTAGCTGCTGCTCAGGACTGGAGTCCCATTTAAGCCTTGCAAGATGAGCATTTTCTGTGGATAGATGTGCAGTAGCTTGTCCTGGTGTGTATGGTGGGTCCGACCACTATGCTGGAAACTCACAGATGTCTCTCCATGGCTTTCCAGCCCTGGAGCACTATGCCTGCTGCTTGAGGGAGGTCTGGAAGGATCCACCAAGCAGCCTGTCCTCACTAGTGTCTCCCCAGCCTCCTGGGCTCACCTGAAGCACTCCCAATGGCTATGTAACCCTAAGGAACTCCATGGGACGTTGGGAGATGCCCAAAGGAGGCTTCACAGCCTTGGGTGTTGAGTCTTTAAAGGAAAACTTCCAAAAGAGGTGATAATGTCACTCCTGGGCATCACACAGCTTGAGAGAGACACTCCTGAACACCTCAGTGATGCTGTGGTGCCACCTCCCGAACATCCCTTGCTGTTGCTGTCACTTATCCGTAAAGGGTTAAAGTTCTCTTTTAGTGTTGCATCCTTTCTATTTTTAAAGCTGGACAATCTGGTTTTATTAAATGTCACCCCTGTACTCCTGGGAAGTTTTCCTCCTCTACTTGCCCTATAATTTCTGTGCTGAAATCTATTACTTCTCATTTTTATCTGTTTCATCTTGCTCACTCCATCCCTTTATAAACTCTGTCCTTCATCTATTGGAGCAGAATATGCACTGGATACAGTTCTGTAAACCTGTGCTGTGGACAAGGACAGATTGGCTTGTACAGGCTATTGGCTATCAGTTTGCAGAAAAATCCACAGTTTGAAATACAGAAAAAATACACCATTGGCAGGTGAGGAGGAAATTTTGTATATTTGAAGTTGTACCCAAATGAAGTCCTTTATCATTATTGACATCACAGTCCACTTCTGGGATTTAACTGTGTCTCTGTCATCCAAGGCCAGGTTAAATGGGGCCTGGAGCAATCTGGTCTAGTGGAAAGTGTACCTGCCCATGGGACAGGTCCCTTCCAACCCAAAACAGTCTGTGATTCTGTGATTCTATGGTTTCTATGAAAACAAAGTTGAAGGAGTTTGCAGGCATGTCAGAGGTGTCAAATGAGGACGGGGAGGATGTTGCCTTTTCCCATCAGGATGGGAAATAGAAATGGAATAATAAGGTCTTTCTTTTGTGCGTGTTGCTGGAGTTTAATGACCTTGTTCCTACAGCTACTTTTAAGCAAACACCATCAGTGATTTATACAGCTCTGGGTTTATTCTGGGATTTAGAGGTGAAGATCTGCAGCCTGAACAGGACCAAGAAGTAATGTTAGCAATACCAAGAGCCTGAGAGAAAAGAAATCTGCATCTTGTTAAGAGAGAGATCTGCTGATTGGTCAAATAACTAATGGATAATTATTGCCCTGCTTGCCTGGATATCTTGTACACTGCTGAATGTACATTGATCTCGGTGAGCAGGATATCCTGGATTTTCTGGAAGCTCCAGAGATTGCACTGGAACACCACAAATCCCAGCTGGAAGTTACAATGGACTGCTTACCTGACACGTGAAAGCCTCGGGAACTGCACTTAGACTCCAGTAATGGACACAACACATTACATGAAGGCAACCTTTGCCTACCAGGGGACTGGAGCCATGGGAGCAGCATGGGGCCACCTGCCCACGAGGATGTGTGTCCTCCAGGGTAGACAGCGTCCCTGTCCAAGGGCAGTGGGGTTCACCGGCCTGCCAGCGAGATGTAAAGTAAAATTCCTTGTTTGACCTGGTAATCCCTTGTCTCCAGTCTGGCAGTCCTACTAGCACCACCTGGGCTGGGACTGAGGTCCCTTCCCAGCAGTGGCACCAGTGACCGCACTGATTCCCCACACCCTTCACATTCCCCCCGTCAGACCAGGTTTCCTCATCAGTTTGACCCCAGGTTTCCCACAGCAGAGTCACAGATGTCTGAATGCTCAAAATAATTTAATCCTGGTGTGACAAAAGCATAACAGCTTGAGTTGGTGCCTCTGAGCAGAGATCCAAACAAAGGAGGCTCTAGGCTTTTATAGCCCCTCAGTCTAAGCACAGGGAAGTCTGGAGTCATTGGCTCCTGTCATGGTTCCAAATGTCCCAAATGTTCCCCTATGCTGGGAAGGGGCCTTAATCCCAGCTCAGGTGGTGCCACTGGGACTGCCAGGGTGGCTCCTGGACGGGTCAGACAAGGAAGCTTCCTTAAGAGTGGCTAATGGCAAAGATACTTGTCACAAACACGAAAGAAGTAGCAAAGCCGCCCTGCAGGCATCTGGACTTCTGCCTATGCACGTTTTTCAAGGAAAGATAAAGTGGAGCACTTGGCAGGGTGATCAGAGTCACTCTGGTGCTGGGGGTCACCTTCTGCTTTGGCTTCAAACTCCTCCTTAGGGAAGAAATATTGAATTTGCATTTTCAGTTTCTGAAAACTTGGCCTTCACACATTTCTTTTTTTTTTTTTTGTTTCTCTCCCCCCCACCCCCCCTGATTTAAAATGACATCTTTTTGGTAGCACTTTCCTTTATCATGTATG